GAAGAGCGTGGTGGGTCTCTGAGTGGGGAGGAGATGACTGCAAGCACAGCGACCGATGTTCTGCTTGCTTGCCTGAGCCTTGTGTGCGCCGTGTGTAGAGTAGCTGCTGTCCCTGTACGTCTGGGCAGGGTTTCCCGTGCCTTCCGCGCTTCTGACTCCCTGGGCCCTGGCACCACGGCAGGGAAGAACACTGACTTTTCAGTGGAGGGCACGTCTTTATGTTTCTCTCTCCCTCTCTCTCCCGTATTCAGATCAATGGTGTTCCGGCCTCCCTGCCTGCTTCTCCTATCCCCAGCGTGACCGTTTCCCTGAGTGGCTCCTACGTGCAAGTTTCTACGAGGCTGGGCCTGCAGCTGCAGTTCAACGGGGACCATGAGCTCCTAGTGAGGGTGTCTGAGAAGCACAAGGGCAAGCTGTGTGGGTTGTGTGGGACGTACACCGGGAGCCAGCAGGACGACTTCATGAGACCCGACGGGGTGATAGTGCCTGATTTCAATGACTTTGGAGCCAGCTGGATGGTGCCGGACAATGACTGGCCGTGAGTCCTTGTCCTGCAGCGTGGATAACAGATGAAGGGGAGCCTGGGAGACAGCGGTTGTGGGTGGAACAAGGAGGGAGGGTCGGGAATGGCAGAGAGGAGGTGGTTGCGGGAAGGTCTCCGGAGCAGCAGACCTGTGGCCCTTGAGTCCGCCCTGCTCTGCTTCATTCGTGTCTGGGATGTCGTGCCTGCAGATAGATTCCAGGCATGCGGCTGCTCCCCTTTCCCCTTTCCCCTGAGGGCTAGCTCACTAGGGTTGGTGTCAGGTCCCCGCTGTGCGGTTCTCCGGTGGGGTTCACGGTGCTTTCTCCCTGTAGGTGCCGTGCTCTGGGGTCCTTGGTGACCTCTGTGCAGGGCCCTGCATCCCACTCTGCACACTCACTGTTCCTGACCCCGAAGAGAGTGCTCGGGGGGGATGGAGGGGGTGGGAGGGTTGGTGGGCACGGTGCTCCTCCCGAGCTGTTGTGGTGCCAACTGTTTCAGCCGTTTGTTTTTGCCTGCCTGATGCCACAGAGGAGAGTGGTGACTGTGGGCCGTGTTCCTAACCCTTGCAAATGAAATCTGGGGTGTGTGTTTCCTCGGCAAGGGGTCTGGACTCCACAGGCTGAGGCTTTGCATGGGGAAGAAGTCAGGAAATGGTGTGGCTGGGGTGCACAGGCTGCTGTGACCTCAGGGGTATCCATCTGCTTTGTAGGTGTGACCCAACCATCTTCCCGCCTGCGTCCTGCTCCCCCTCCCAGGAGGAGGCAGCTAACAAGCAGTGTGCAGTCCTCACGCAACTTGGCGGCCCGTTCCAGCCATGCCATGCGGTTCTGCCACCCAAATCCTACTTTGAGAGCTGTGTCTATGACCAGTGTGCCACCGGGGGCAGCACAGAGCAGCTGTGCAATGACCTGGAGGCCTACGCTGCCGCCTGCACCCAGGCAGGAGTCACTCTGGGAGACTGGAGCGCTGGCACTGTCTGTGGTAAATGTCTCGTTTGTGTTTGTGTTCAAGAGTGAGCGGTAAGAGTCTCCCTCTCCCTCCACATACTCTGTGGATGTGAGTAGTAGTTGTCCCTTCTGGTGAGCAGATCGTGAGCGTTCTTTTTCCCCTCTGTTGCATGCCTTGGCTCTAGGGCTGACAGCCTAAGGGTTAAGATCCAGGAGCCCCGCCATGTCACAGCAGCTCTGAGGGGTTGGGCACAACCCTTTCCAGCCTGGCAGTCCACAAAGGCCTTACCTCTGCTCCCCTACGTGTCCTGCCCAAAGCGTTCTGCCCAGCGCTGCCTGTCTTTGGCTCTGGAGTGGCCTCTCCGGGGTGTGTTGTCAGCAGCTTCTTAGGCCCTGGGAAGGCGGGCAACTGCCTGAGTGCTGCTAGTGGGATGGAAATGCAGTGCCAGGCAAGAGTGGTCAAGGCTGTGGTGCCTGCTGTCCCTCTTCTGTACATGAAGTGCTGCTGACAAGGGGCTGTCAGAAAAGACCTAGAGTTGTAGTGAGTCACTGGTAACATCCTGCCCATGGCTGGATGGAGGCTGTAAGGAGGCTTAGCGAGGTACCACCCAGGACCAGCGAGGTGAAGAGAGGGAGGGACAACCGGACGAGGGAGGGGGAAGAGGGAGGCAGCCTTGATTAGTGAACACCTTGGAATACCCAAGATGAAGCCGATAATCTGGGAACAACCTTGCTCCCTGGCCTATCTGTCCGCAGTTTTTCCTCTGCTACGCTGGCACACCACGTGCTTCCACTTAGTTGGCCATCCTCACCTGGCCATGAGCACGCCGGGAATGTAGGTGTCCCTGCCAGGACACAAGGAGAAGGTGTCCCTGCCCTCACTGTAGAAATTCTGCTTTTCTTTCTGCACCATATTCATCTTCCCCTGCAGCCTGCAATTTCTCCTGCACATTCGACGTTGACTTCTGTGAGTGGGTACAGGCGGACTACAGCAGCATTGACTGGATAAGGCACAAGGGGCCAACACCCTCGCCAGATACCGGCCCTTCCTATGACCACACAACAGGAGGTAGGAAGAGCAGCTGGTACATGGTGGTCCTTCAGGCAGAGGGGTATCCCTGGGGAGGGGACGAGGAGCCTCTTCTGGCAGGAAATACAGGCCACATGCTTCTTGGGCTTGTTCCAGAGCTGCTTGTGGCAGTCTTCCCCAGGGCCAGGCCCTTGCTTTAGGAAGCCTTGCAGCCCTAGGAATCAGTCTGTGATACCGCCAGGGCAGGCAAGGATCTACTGTGCGAGGGGGAAAGCAATGCGGAGCCCAGTGGCCAGGCTCTCTCAGGGGACGGCAAACGGGTGTCTGTTAGCAGACGCTGGCTCCTCTAGAAACCGATGATGAATGGGTCCGAAAGCTGCCGAGTCGAGCTCAGGTACTGTGGTTTCCCATCCGCAGCTTTTGCTGTTGGTGGTAAGCTGCTTGGTTTGTGTTCTTCGTGGCGCAGAGCTGAGGCACGGAGTGGCTGTAGTGGAGGGGCGGAGCTTCTCCTTGTGTCTCCCAACACTCTCTCTGGGGCTGCCCTTTAATTATGGAGCTCCTTTGAGGGAGTCACCATTGGATCCCTTCCCTAGGGCAATGTTGTTTTGTGGTTGGAGGTTTTGATTGGGGGTTTTTTGAGGGGTGGACTATATTCCTGGTAATTTTCTCTTCCATCCATATCTGTTACCTTATATATAAATATTTCAGTAAGCCAATTTCTATTGCATATTTTCAATTTTTATACATTTGTTTACAACGCATTATGTGTGTATGTTATACATGGATTTGTGGTATTGTGAATATCCTTTTTCATAGTTTTGCTTTTGATTTTAGTTTTCCTTCTAATTGTCTGAATTCAATATTTTGATAGTAATTATTCTGTTACATAGTCCTAGAAAAAGTTGAGTCATTGTGTGTATTGTTATTTAGTATTTAGTATATAAGTTAAAATGTCAGTTTAAGTAAGTTTCAGATCTTTTTTCTTCTATTTTTTACTCACCAAGTGTTCTATATATATCAGCTTGTTAAGTACAAAAGAGTATTAGCTCTCGGTTTGATTTTCTTCTCTTTTTGTGATATTAGTTAATTATATACAGTTCCCAGCCTTTTGCTGGTTTGTGTGAATAGTAGTTAGGGTTCACATGTAGACACAACTGTGAGTGTAACTATTTTTTTAACATACCGCTTGAAAGAAGAGAAGCTTTCTTTTTTGATAAAGATCATAAAACATCTGCAAGCTCATCCTACCTATTGTTTTATAGTAAGATTTTCTGTTTGAAGCTTTAAAAAGGAAGTTTGTTATTAACACTTAGAGCTTTACCCGGAGCATGCGCACAACACAGACACACACTGAAAACCTCAAGCTGTACATGGTGTCACTGTCTAGGAGGTGTCGTGTATGCAGTGTTCAATAGAGATTCTGTAACTGACATGAGTACAGAGCCCTAGAGAGCTGACCAGCTGTGTAAAGGTTTTAAGTAGGTTCTTCCTATTCAGTCTGAAATAGCTTTTCAGACTTGGACGTGAAACACTCACTGCTCTGCCTTACATACTGAGGTTCAAATATCAACGTTATAAATCTTGCTTATATTGCTACTTCAGCCTCTTGTATAGATTTCTGGTACACAGAGGTACAGATTCTTCATGGCTTCAAAGGCAAGAGTCTAGGCTGGGCTTTGTAATGTCTTAATTTCAGTCTCAAGACAGTTGTAAGCTTGAAAATCCTATTTAGGTGAATGTGCATGATTCAGATTGAGTTCTGGTCTCAAGCTGCAGATGGTGGATCTCTATTTACTGTACATCAAATGAATCCCTGGATCAGGTGATATGACCTTCAGGAATTGCAACAGAATCTAGGTGACTTCCAGTTTCAGTAGAATGGCATTTTCTCTGTGGAAAGTTTGCGTGACTCTTTTGTACTCGGTTGCTTATTGATGCCATCAATATCTGAATAGCAATTACAAAGTAAAATGAAGTGTCTGATGGGGGCACAATGACTGCAGAAATCTGATAGAGATTCAAAAGGATTTATTCTGTCTGTCTTCCTTCCCAGATCGTGCTTCCTGCAGTGCCTCTGGGGATCCACATTATAACACTTTTGACCACAAAGTTCATAATTTCATGGGAAATTGCTCTTACACCTTCTCAAGATTGTGCAACATCTCTCAGGGGCTTCCATACTTTCATGTGTCCACAACGAATGAACACAGAGGTGGCAACACCAAAGTCTCTTACGTGAAGTCAGTGCAAGTGGAAGTCTATGGCAATCAGATTTCTTTGCTGAAAAACAAGAAAGTGAATGTAAGAAAACCTTTGCTTAAGAGACATATTTTGATATCTAATATTTTTAAGCTGATATGCAGAAATTAAAAATATGAAATATCTTCTCTGATTGTAGAGTTCATAAGGATTTCCCTTTTTTTCATTGGTTGAATTACCTCTTTGAATGAGCTTTCAAACACATTTACCCATGATTGCTCAGGTGAAATGTTCTTTAATGGTTGTTTCCACTTCCCTTGTGCGCTAATGTTTCACTAAACTAGTTTGCTAGATTGTTCATGAGCTTGTTGCTGGTAGCTGTAGGAGCCCCAGCAGGCACAGACTGACTTTTACAACTTGTTGTACAGGTGAATGGCAGCAGAGTGAATCTGCCAGTATTTATTGAAAGGAAGATCAGTATCCAAAGCAGTGGTGGATATGTTCTCCTGGAAACTGATTTTGGACTGTGGGTTAGATATGATGGAAACCACTATGCAGATGTTTCTGTGCCCTCTAATTACAGTGGTCTGCTCTGTGGCCTTTGTGGTAAGTCATAGGCTTAGTCACTTTTAAGTGAGTCATGGAGACTGGTGATTACTTAAACTTATTCCTTACTTTGTCATATTTATTCTATACACAAGTAGTCCTTGTCAAATGGACTAGAATTTACATCAGTGAAGAAAAGTTGCTAGAATTTTTCAGTTCCTAACAACCAGAACTTATAAATCTCATATCCCTCTGGAATCTTGTGAGTTATAACTATGAGTAAAATTACCAGCTGGAAAAAATCTCACTTCAGGTCTGCAGTGTAAATACAATAAGAGTAATGATGTTCATACATCTACTCAAGAATCCTACAGATATACTTTTCTGTTATTTACATTCTGATATGTTTTTCTTTTGGGGGGTGTAAGGATTGCTATGCCATTTCATTTCCTGGGACATAAAAACTTCCAGAATAAGCTGAGAACAAGCTTCAGAATAGCTGACTGTGAGCATCCTTAAGCTTTCCTCATGCTGTTTTCCTATACTGTTTTAGAAGCTGTTAATACATTCTGGATGATCATGTTTCTATAAACAAAGGCAAAAAAAAAAAAAAAAAGTCAGACTACAAAGGCTTCTTTTCACCTACTTCTTATTTCAACTCAGCTACGTAGTGTCCACATTAAAACAAAGCAGTGATGGAGATCTAGAATGGATAATTCCGCGCTGACAGACATGATGAATAAGAAAATTCATTTCTAATTTCCAAAATTTAAATGCCACAAAATATTAAGTGTAATACATGATACAAGAGAGAGATTCCTTTGAGAATCCTGGGAGAAAGAACAAATCATACAAAAAGGGCATGTTCTGTTGAGTTCTGTAAGAAATTGTGTTGCAATAGGATGGCACAGTAAATAAGAATCGCAGGTGGTTTATATAGCTAATGAGAGAGCCTGATCCATCTGAAACTAGTAGTGACAAGCAGTTTTTCATCAGTAATGCTGGTAATGCCTGAACCTGAGCAGGTTCAGTTGGAGCAACTTTCTAGAATGAGGTGATTACATGAAATGTACTTCAGGATGGAAATGTAACTAGAAATTGCAAGAGTAGCTTGTGGTGTGAGTTTCTGGTTATACTTTGATCTGGATGAACTGAAATTTCCTAGTTCAATGATATCTCTGTAGATGTTTCACAGTTTCAATTCAGGAAACCTACCTAAGGATATAGTGCTGCAAATGACACCATTTGATTTTTAATCCACCAAAGTTCTACAGATATGATCCAAGGAAATTAGGGTTTTTTTTAATCTAATCAATTCGTTCTTATATGCAGTGTGATCTAGTTAGATATGAATTTACAGTTTCCTTGCTTCAATGCCACAAGCCAGCAACACTGTATTTGAAAGACAAGCCCTTGTCATCTGTCAGCAGTAGTCAAAGTCTAAAACACAAGGAAGCTCTTCTTATTTTGTCCAGTACACATTGATGTTGCATATATATTCTCACTAGTCCATTAGAGTCTATTTTGCAACCTGAAACCTAGGTTTTTTCTACAGGTTTGAACTTCATGTATTCTATAAATCTCTTTTTACCCTCACAGGTAATTACAATGGTGATCCAAATGATGACAACATAAAGCCCAATGGTGATACTGCAAGTAGTTCTACTGATCTTGGACAAAGCTGGCTTGTCCCTGAGAATAACACCATGTACGTACAGGAATCTAATCACATGGCATTTGGTAATAAAACTGTAAAACCAAGCAGCTATCTACTCACTGGCTCTGTCATACAGCACCATTTTGCATCTGAAGAAAACTTCTGACTGCCCATTGAAGTTGGGAGCTCCTCCTTTATGTTATACAGGGAATGAGAAGAGGGAGTATGTCCTTTAAGTCTTGTTCTCCAAAGCAGGAAGTGTCTGTTGAGTGGTAGGGAGGAACTTCAGTCCAATTCCTTGACTGAAAACTGTAACTGATTGGATCCCATAGCTCTTAGATCAGCTAAGAATGAGCCTTTGAATAGCCCAAAGGCATCAAAAATGGAATCCATTCAGTGATAAGGATGACATCAGTCTCTCAAAGAAACTGGATAAAGTCTTGTGACTAACAAAATCCCTGTCCCTGTTTTGTTGGTCTTGTGACTAACAAAATCCCTGTCCCTGTTGTGCAGAGACATCATGTGCCAATCTTCTCCTAAAATCTGATACTAAGAGAGATGAAACAAAGACTTTATTATCCTTGCTTTACCCAGATGTTCCAGTGGAACAGAAGAGCAGTGTGACCCTGTGCTGGAGAGTGAAGCAAAAAAGAACACAACATGTGGCATGATCACAGACCCAGCAGGTAGTATATTGGTAGTTCTCTGAGCTATGCAATAGAGGGCATTGCAAAGTATAGTTTATGTTTTCTGTTCTCTTTAGCCCATTGTTCTGAGCTCACACTGGAAGCGCACAAAGCCTCCGGTACCAATGACAACCATAAAATTCATAGCTGCTTGGTCAAGACGTGTTGACCATTCAGACAATGCCAATGTGTCCATGAAGATCTGAGAATGATGCTCAGAGAGCCATAGTTACTGTTTGATTTATAGTGATTTGCACTCTCCTTTCTCAGAGAAATAGTTCGGAGGACACTGGCATTGCATGTGTTACAGATACTTTACTGCAAATTCTGTAGGGGTTCCCTGCATTAGAGACCTCCTGCAGGTGTCTAGAATTAGTGGATTGCCTAGCCATCAGCTCCTCATTTATGTAAGCTATGTTGTATCACTCATGAAAAAAGAAGCAGGTGTGATCCAGAGGGCCAACTCTTGCTATGTGTGCTCAGTTTCAAGTGTCAGTATGACTTACTAAACAAAGTTAGCCTGATACGTTCCTTTCTGTGACAGAGAATAAGTGGTAGTGGTGATGAATCTTATCATTCCCTGCTTTTTTCCTATACTTCTATCTATCTTTCTTGATTTACTCAGGAATCTTCAAGGATTGTCATGCCAAAGTGCCTCCAGAGAATTTCTTTGAAAACTGTGTTTATGACATGTGTTTCACTGGGGGACAGGCAATGTCCTTATGCTATGGACTGCAGGCCTATGCTGAGTCGTGTATCAATGCTGGAATATGCATAGAGTGGAGAAATTCTACTCTTTGTCGTGAGTACTGTGATTTATAAATATCTGTTCCAGATTTAAACTTTCAAAGTCTGCACACTTTCTTCACCCTTTTACATGAATTTTCTTCTACCTTTTTTATGTCATGTTTGAGTATAGTCTGTCTTTTGTCATGTCTTAAGCCTGTTTCAATTTCAATGCCATTCCAGTATTTGTATAAAACACTATTTTTCATATATTTTTGGATACATTCAAGTCTAATTGTTCTGGAGCACATATTATCATCTTGAAGTTAGTTATTGACTGCCACTATAAGAGCACAAGCCTGATCTTTAAATCTTCTGTAGTCAAATGTGGCTGTGTAGGAAAACATTTTTGTAAGTCCAAAAACAGATGGTCCAGGCAGAGTGTACAAACATGGAGTTAGCACATCCAGCTGCTGCAGATATATGAGGAGCTAGCCATTTGTGTTGGCAGCTCCTGCAGGGTGCTGTAAGAACAGCAGATGGGTAAATGTTTTGTAAGAGTGAGTCTCTGTGAGGACCTCTGAAAGGCCCATAATTAGATACATATAAGAAGAGACCCCTTAAGCCTTGAGACTCAGGACCACAATCTGGCAAGGTAAGCGAGTAGATTTACTTAGATTGCCATACTATTTTAGCGTTTGTTTGTGATGGTGAAAGGAGAATCAGGGAACCTGTCCTGAAAAGAGGAGAGAGATTGAGTCTGCGGGGAGCTGATAACACTGTCAAGGGTCTTTGTTCAGGAAATGTTAATATAATCTATTATTATTCATAGCAAATCAATATTTGCCTCCGACCCAGCTGTGAGTATCCCAACTGGTCCTAAACACTTCCTAATACAGTGTAACCTTCAAGTTTTAATAATTTCCTTTTAGCTTATTGGGAAGATTTGATTACACTCAGCTGTATCTTATGTGAGCTTCTGCACTGGGGGAATAAGTGCTGCTTTTCACCATCTTCTTTGCAGGCAGAGCTGATGGTGAAAGACTAGACATCTAGTCTAGTCTAGACATCTAGACTCTACCCACAAAAGCTCATTGCTGGCTTTTGGACAAAACATAGCTTAATAAGAGGCCTTGGGAAACAGCAGTTTCTAGAAAGGTTGCAGGTAGTTCTCTATAAAAAACAAAAGCAGAAGTATTCTCAGTTACCTCCAGATTAATTCTCTTTAGAATGACCTTAAGTGAAGTTGTGTACACTAAGTTCATATTTCATATAGTAAAGTTTTCCAGGAGTTCCATTGTGAATGGTCTTGATTTTATACAGCACTGTGCAGTTTTACACACACTAGACATCTTCCAAAGGGCCTTTCTATTCACAAAGTATACAGCTGGCTAAAATAAGAAGTCCTCTAAAGTTCAGCAATGGTAAAATAAACCGTCATCTCTGACTATGTGCTGATGCTAATTTTGATGACATCAGTTACTGGTGTATTATATCCTTTGTGGATTAACACCTTATTTTTTTTCTGTGATCAACAGTTTGCTCTGCATTGAAGCCAAATATAAAAATTATTGAGAGATTCTGGGAGCTGCTCCGTGTGGGAGAAGAATTACTGTGACTTTTAAATGGCCTTTGATTTAAAGCACCCAGTGAGTCAGTGCTGGGAGGACAGAACACATAGGGACACCACATAAAACAGGAGCAATAAATTAACTCCTAACCCCCAAATCAGATTAAGCCTGTGGACGTCCAGACTCCGTATTCTGAAGCAATAGCATAAGGCCTAAAGATCTACAGCTTGATTATGGTTATAGAGAAGAAGATTACTCAGTTACATTAAGAGAACTGGCTCTCAAGCGCTCTCTCCATCAGTAATTCAAACAAAAAGTCGATCGGGAACTTGACAAGAGGCAGGTGCTCTGACTAGATGATTGGAGATATTGGCTGTAATTGTCTGAGAGAACTAAGAGGTCCTGCTACAGGGGCAGAAGTGAATGAGAATCACTTGTGGTGATTTATCATAGAATCTAGACAAAAATACTATTTAGGCTTTTTAGATCACAGAAATAGACAAATACATGAAGATCTCTGTAAGGTATGACATTTTCCATGAGGAGCATGCTTTGAGTGACAGAAGCCAAATTATAGTAGTGAGTATACTCGCTACTATAGTAAGTAGTAGGGATGTCAGAGTACAGTGCATTTTCTCAGGGGGTCTAGGATGAAAGATAGAGTCTGATTTTTAGTTCTATTTTTAAATATGTGACAAGTGTTCAAATAGTAACTACTGTAATGGGATCATATCAGGTAGTATGTGAAGAGATACTTTTATTCCCTTAGTTGAGTGACTTGAGTACTCAGGAAAAAATGGAGGGTAACAGGAGGGTAACATCCTCTGTTTAGTCACTGAATACCTATAGCCTGTAGAGCTGTAGTTCAAAATAAAGCTGTATGAAACTCATCATTGTCCACTATATGGTTAAAAATGAGTTTTAAATCCATGTGAAAAAGACCGTCCATGAAAAGCCTTGATCCCTCCTGCAGCCACTTGTCTGCTCTGGCCAGCCCAAGCTTTCTGACCAAGACCTCCTAGTTCTCTCCTTTGTGTACTGAACTGTCCGAAGGTGGAAGGCAAGAGTACCTAGGGTAGTATAATCACTCCAGGCCTTACACGCAAAGCAGGCCTGGACTGTTTAAATTCCTGTGTGAGGTGATGTGCAGGGTGACCCAGGTTTCCCTGTCTTGCCCACCTAAGCCTAAAACCACCCACTCTCTCACACTGCAAGAAAAGCCTTGTTAGTCAGCACTTTCCAGTGTCAGACTTTTTCACAGCAAATTTTAGTGTACTTTCAGGAGAAAGCACTGAACACATAATTTCTTTTTTTAAGATTTTATCCTTTTGAGTGATCTTGTTTTTTCTTTTGTCTCTAGCAATGTCCTGTCCTGGAGGCAGTGTCTACAAGAGCTGTGGTACCAGATGTCCCTCTACCTGTGTGAACACCTCAGCAGTTAATTCCTGCAGTTCATTACCAGTGGAGGGTTGCTTCTGTAAAGAGGGCTATGTTTTGAGTGGAGACATATGTGTGCCAGAAAGCAGCTGTGGTTGTGTTGATGAAAAAAACAATTATTACCAGGCAAGTTATCTTAGGCATTTGGAGAAAAAAAAGAAAGAATGAGGGATCTCATTCTTTAGAACCATAAGAGGAAAACTGTTAAGCACATTAACAAAATTATTATTTACACTGTTAATAATAGCAAAATTGAAACTCACCTTGCCAGCCTTCCTGATCAGTGGGCTGTGTGGCTATAATTGTGTAAATGAGCACTCAAATACTAAAAATTTGATTACCCCTTATGATATTACCTTTCCATTCATCTTATAATATTTACTTCCACACCTCTTTTTTTTCTCTCAGCTGGATGAAAGTTGGTTCACCAATTACACCTGCACTGAACGCTGCACCTGCAAGACTAATAACAGCATTGTATGCACACCTTGGGAGTGTGGGGTGCGAGAGGAATGCAGTGTTCAGGATGGTGTGCTGGGCTGTCACTCCAATGGTAAGTTCTCCCTGAAAATGGTTGTCAGTGTCCATTCAATAACTAAGACCCTTCTGCCCCTTCTAGCTTTTTCACAGACATCTTTCCATATATGATGGCAAAGTCCCAACTGACTGCTGCCAGTGCTAAGAGATGAAAAGACAGATGATGTGTCTTGCAAGCACTGATTCCATTTTATTGTGGGGATATCAGTAGGAACTGATGCTGCCCAAATGCTTGCAAGATCATGTGGGTTCTTTTTGTCTAGATAATGCATATCCTAGTCCCAAATCACCAGTGCTGCAAGCTCTGCATTTGGAAATAATTGAGAAGAACTGCAATTATGTGAATCAGGATAGTTGCAAGGGTCTTAAATATGTATGTGTATTTAGATGTACAGTTATGTATTTATATATTACTAAGTAGAAAAGCTATGGGTTACTCCCATCTAGTATGCTTCATAGCTACAACTGCACAAAGAAATGGGTAAAAACATTTATTTTCTGCCAAGTTTGTAATTCACAAACTAAATTGAAGAGACACTTTTTGGAAAATTTTCTTTTCCAAGTAAATGTCATTGTCACGAACGTGAGATACCTACGTGAAAGTTTGCCCACATAATAACGGTCAGGATCAGGTTACTGCACTAATGCAGACATCTTTGGTCAGCTGAGTCTGTGATAAAATCCAGGCCAAAGTCATTGGATAAATGTTTCATCTTCAGGCCAAGCAACATGTCAGGTGGCAGGAGATCCCCATTACTTCACCTTTGATGGAATGATGTACACCTTTATGGGTACCTGCACCTACACCCTGGTTGAGGTCTTGAACAGCAGCAGTATCACACCTATAACCATCCGTGGCAAGAATGAAGACCGAGGAAAAAGAGGAGCCACATACCTGAAAGAAGTCTACATAGATGTGTATGGCACACGAATCACCCTTCAGAAAAGCCAAGGAATCCTGGTAGGTGCTGGTGCTTCTTTTATTCTTGCAATAAGTATCTTAAAGCCACCTCAAAAGAGTAGCTGTAAAAAAAAAAAAAAGGATCTTCCTGTTTTCTAAGTAACAGGTACGCATATCCTTAATACTTGTGGCACCTCCATTAACTTGGTATCAAGCAATAGAATTTCTCACTATTTCCCAAGACTTCATTTTTGGGTTTACTGTTATATCAGTAGTATCTTGGAGATAGAGCCCAGAGCCTCCAGATATGAGAACTTTTGCCTGAACTAAAGAATTGGGCTCCCATGTTCAATAGCTGATCTCAACTCAATCATCTATAGCTTGTCAGAGTGAGCAGAAGAACAGCAAGTCATACTGTATTAGTCTGGAATAGCACTGAGGATCCACGTGAGTCCCTGAGGCTAAAGATCCACCATGTATGAGGGTAGGAGCTTACTCAATACGAGGGACCTTTATACCTCCTTGGTAAAAGCATAGGCTCTGAGTCCTGCCCAGCTCTCCTCAGCTAAAAGTCTGCAGCCCATAGTTGGAATGTACAGTGGTGGAAGAGCCAAGGAGTTGGAACTGTCATAGGAAGATCTCCAGCTCTACAAGAAATATAAAATGTGAGCAGAAAAGCCTTCACAGGAGTGTCTGTACTGACAAAAATAACTTTCGTCTCCAGTTGAACAGTGAGAGAGTCCACACTCCAGTGGAGAATCGGTTGCGAGGCGTGTCCATTGGAAATGTTGGCAGATACATAGTAGTGGAAACTGACTTTGGTATGGTAGTGAAATATGATGGCAATCACCATCTGGAAATCACCCTCCCACACTCTTATTTCTCAAAGGTAAGATTTAATATGTAAGCGTACAGTCACTGTTTCAAAACTGCTCCTTTGTATATTCACTTTTCATTTCTTTTCTTCTTGTGTTTTACTATTGTATCTTTCTTTGTAGCTGTATTGTAACACACAAGTCTTTTTTTATTTTTTTTTATTTTTTTTAATTTCCTTGTGTTCTAGGGATAGTTACAGAAAATAACCCAGCTGGCTAAGTACCTGGCTGTTAGCTACAAGGAACACACTGTGGTTATAGAATTAAGTGCCTTGAAGCCTTAGGGGACCACAGATTTATTGCTGTGTCTATTTTATTTCTCCACTGGTGCAGTCAGATGGTAGGGAACGGGTCCGAAGTGTTTGGTACAACGTGGGATTTTGTTAGTGATTTGGCCGCCTCCTTCTGCGGTCAGTGAGTAGTTCTTGGGGAAGCTGGTATAGCACAGATAATACTTAGAATATGTTGATCTTGTTCACTTGCAGGTGCATGGCATGTGTGGTAATTTCAATGACAGACCTGAAGATGATCTGACCTTGCCCAATGGTACAATTGTTAATGACATACAGTTTGGAAATAGCTGGAAAGTGGAGGAAGACAGTGATGCAGGGTAAACATGACTTGTTTTCATATTTTTTGTCTTCCTTTGGGAAATAGTCTCCTTTTACATGTTTTTGGCCATTTTGCTACTCTGTAACACATAGGTAGTGCCTATGAGATTTCTCTCCTCTTCAGCGTGAAGCACAAACAAAAGCCATCACCATAGGAAACTACTGCACAGGCCAGCAAGAAACCACAACCATCCTTTTGATATGCACACTTGGGGAATTAGGCTTTGAGGTAGTCCATAGTGTGGACATACCCTATGATTATTTTACACTGAAAACACCTAGAGCAGGATGATGGTATTGGGGAGCAGTGAGGACTGGTTTCACTCTTAATGGATGGGGAGCTGCGCACGATAACATGGCTTGTAGGGCAGGGGCCTTGCCAGCTAGGGCCCATCCCACAGTACCTGAGCAAGGTGAGCAGGGCAGACCAGGAGGGGCAGCCAGGTTCAACTGAGAGTCCAGATCACCACACAAGTTTGCAGTTACAAGTTAGGTCCAAAGTCAAGTTGAAAAGTCAATCCACTGGTCAGGGTCAGGTCCAGTGAGGGTCAACATGGGCAGACACAGCCCTGTGATGGCTGAGCGGGACCGTGGTGATGGGGCAGAGCCAAGGGCAGAACTAAAACACATTGATGAAGTAGTAAGAGTTTGCACTACTATTACCTACTCTTTCACTCGTTACTAGAAAGAAGATTAGAGTCTCCAGGGCTATTTATTTAATACCTCTCAGTAGCAACAGACTTACCTCTCTCAATCTCAGTTTTACATATGCCTTTGAAACTCAAATTTAACTGTGTTTATGCTTTCATACAGCTGTTTTTCAGATTCAAGAGAAGATGATCTTCCTCCTTGTACTGCTGAGAATAAACCAATCATTGAAAGCGAGTGCAATGTCTTAAAATCAGACAAATTCAAACCATGTCACAATCTGGTCAAGCCAGAACCTTTCATACAGATATGCACCTATGACATGTGCCAGTATGATGGCATGAAGTCCACTCTCTGTGACATAGTTCAATTTTATGTGGACACCTGCAGGAACAAAGGCATCACCATTAAATGGAGGAACAGCACATTCTGTCGTAAGTGCACAAGCAAGTAAAAAAGCAGAACCTTAGATGGCTGATGGCATGAAAATTAATTAGCAGTATTATCTGGACAAGTTATGTAAAAGATAACTAAACCCAAATCCTCACAAAACACAATGCTATTATTTATGATTTTATGACTTCATTGCTGCAGTGAGCTGTGTTCATGTTGAACTAAATCCAGTGATAACTCATGACTAGACAAGCTGTGGGTAGTAATGTGGAGTTAGAATAGTTTTAGTAGCCAAATGGATGTTGTGAGATATTGCAATGAGTCTAAAATTGAGAAATATATAACAAGAAGACTAGAATAAATTGGCATACTGTATTAGGACACAGGGCTCAATACTGCTCACTGTGTTCTGAATGAAGACTGGCCATTTGGCCAGTTGCTTATTAAGGGCTGGGTTCTCTGATAAATCTCCAGTGTACGTGCCTCATTCTACCCGTTCAACAAAGCCACAAACTAACTGAGTAAAGATTAATAAAGATTACATGGTATTTGTTTTTTCACAGTTTAGTATTATATTGTGGAACTAATTGCCACGCGATGTTTTGGAAGCTAAAACATTTCACTGGTTAAAAAGCAAGCCAGATGAATGTTGAACAGGTCCATCAGAAATTCCTAAGTGCTTGCTTGCCAGAAGTAGGGGAGAATGCTGGACAAAGGAACACTCTCTGCCAATGTATTTCTTGAACTGTCTCCTTATGCATCTTTAGTCATTGGCGGAAATAGGATATAGAGCTAGATGAACTTTTAGTTTGACCATGCATACCTGTTGTTCTTGTATGTGTTTATATCTGTGGTTAAGCTAACGTAACTTAACTAACACATATCTTGTACCACTAGAGGACTGAGCATTCTAAAGAATTTGCCCTAATGATTCACGTTTTTAACAGTGCCTGCAGAGGCATTTGCAGCTGAGCTGAAATAGTGAATCTGAATGGTCTACCCCAGGTACCACCAGCTCAGACATATCTGTAATAGAAGTGAATCAGCAGCTCCAAAATTGGTTCTCTATTTAAAAAAAAAAAAAATCATCAAAAATTAAAACTGGATGATCAAAATCAGCTATTAAAAGGCAATCCTATACTGCCATTTTTCAGCTCAAGTCCTAGGTTTCAGGCAGTCATATGTGTTTGCAGTGCCGTTTCTAAATGTATTTAATAACACTAACTTTATTTTCTTCACCCACACAGCATTGCCTTGCTCATCCCACAGCCATTACACAGACTGCGCATCTCCCTGCCCATCAACATGCAATGACATTTTTGCTTCTTCCCTTTGTGAGAAGACAAAAGAGTGCACAGAGGGCTGTGAGTGTGATGATAATTATGTGCTCAGTAATGGCAAGTGTGTACCGCTGAGCAATTGTGGCTGCAGGGATGATGACAACAATTACTACAGCGTAAGTAGTTTGTCCCTGTGGGGATTTGGCTTCCTGACCATCTAAATGAGAGAAAGATGAATCTTTAGTTATCTTACATCTGGTTAGAAAAAGCTGCAGTCTCGGTTATTAGCAGCTGCAAAAGCTTGCTACTTTGCATATGCAGCCAAAATTGAGACAGGTTGGAAACCAGTAATTTGATCAGAATAATTTGGGTAGTCTATCCTGGTCCTGTTTTGTGTCCAAATTCTCAAGACAGTCAATAGGACAAATGGCCTGAGATTCCCTGCCTCCCAGGCTCTTGGTGAGACTATGCCTGGATAAGGCAGTTGTGGAACAGCCAGTAGGACAGGTTGCACCTAGCCAGCCCCCATACCCTTCACTGTTGGTCTCTTACTGTATTGTAAAGCTGAGCACATTGGTAACATATTATTAACACAACTTGTGTCCAGGCTGGGGAGACTTGGATAACTCCACACTGTGCCAGAAGATGCCAGTGTCAGAAGAATGGTGTCATCAGTTGTCAGAACTATGGCTGTGAATCTCAAGAAACCTGTGTGGTCAAAAATGGAAAACACAAGTGTAATCCAACAGGTATGCGCAAGCGGGTCTTCATTTACTGTTTCATGAAGGCTGGAGAAGGAAGAAGGATGTGGCTGTCCAGTCTTTCTTCCGTGGCGCTTCCAGTCTTTTTCACAGGGGAAGGCAAGCAGGTCTGCCAATGCTGTTGATGGAATATTACTGAACACAAAAAGGCCTCAGTTTTCACAGTAGAAAGTTCCAGTACAAGGCACACAATCTGCAGAGAGAAGTAGAGCAATAGTTTGAAAATATATTCACCTCTAAAAAATTGGCAGTTTAGTCTAACCTGTTTGCAAAGAAAAAAGATTTGTACTGTATCTACCACAAATAAAACTCAGATACATCTATGAATCCTCTGGTTTGAAGAACAGTATGACATAGGTCCTACTGTACTGGTGACCAGTACAAGAACATAATGCAAATGCAGCTTTGGCCTGCTCCATTTGGGCAAAATACCACATCAGAGACACCACAGGAGCCTTAAGGAGAGCCTAGTTCCTGGGAACAGGCAGAATACTTAGACAATAGTCACTGCATCCAATTGTTTGGTCTGGTGAACCCAATGATAAATTTAGTAACTTCAGAAATAATCAATGTGACATTAGTGACCCAGACAAAATTAGACACTGCTTTTCATGTTCCAATAATTTTGTAGCAACATACTGCTGTGGAATGTGAAACCCACACGTCTAAGAGCCCACTGCAAGCCATGCTGCATGATAGAGTGTGCCCAACTTAGTGCCTATAAAGCCTTATATGCTAATGCTGTGTTTCTTTTGGCTGGCTTGCACAGGTTATCGGCAAAGGAATGAGTTTCTCTGGTTGGCTCTCCACTCAGGTGTCCATTCACTAGGGTGATGCCTGAGCACTCATCTTTGCTTTCAGAGACCTGCATGTTAGCAGCAGACTTTGTTATCTAACTGTTGTTAAATTGGTTCATGCATCAGATCTGGCACAGGTGCATTCAGACTGGAGGGTAAAAAAAAAACTCTTCTCCTTTAGGTTTTGGGAAATGCTGGGTCATGGGCGATCCACACTATATCACCTTTGATGGTCTGGTGCACCACTTCCAAGGGAAATACACGTATACTCTGGCTCAGACCATCCCTAACCTACCTGATACTCTGACACAGTTCAGCATCGAGGGCATGAACTATCCTCTTCCTTTAAGTCGGCACATTACTTACCTCAAAGAGATTCTCATCAATGTTTACAACCACACGGTGCGATTCAGGCAGAAGAAGCAGCTTGTGGTAAGTCTCTCACTGCAGCACACAAACCAAATGCTCCTCCCTCTCCCCTAGAATAAAACCAGTTTGAATAATAAATGTCTGTTTTGAAGCATTTAAGTATTAAAACTAACTGTATTATTACAGCAGTGCTATGGGGCAACCAAAAATGTGATCTCAGTTGTGTTAAGCCTCTCACAAACAGCATGGGTGACTCCTGTCTTGAGCTCACCATCTTAGTAGTCAGAGTGGGAAACTGGGAATAACATGCAAACTTGGGAAAGAGAAAGGAAGGGAGTAATGTGAGGACAGGAAAAAATGATAGGAGGGATTTATTGTAAGATGAACTGACTGTGCAGTTTAGAGCTTCTTGCTGTAGCGATATTCTTGAAATTGCACCAGAGAGGCCTCAAAAGAAAAAGAATCCTGCAGTTTGGTAACAGAACTTGGATCATCACCTGAAGGAAATCTGTATTTGGATGCAAGAAAGATTCTGAGTGCAGATGCTGGCCTGTATTTTAACAGGCATTTCTTAGAGCAGGCAGAACTGTACTTGAGCTCAATATGAGTTAAGAAGGGGTGCACACCACCTTACCATCACACTATTTTATATACTTTAGACAAGTTGCTCTCCTCAGTGCCTTGAAAAGCAGGGAAATAAGGATCAGAGAGCCCATTTTACAGGTGTGAAGAACAGAGCGCAGAAAACTAAGGGAATTGCAGAAAATGTCCATTTCAGAGCTCAATTCCTAAACAATTCTGAAGAAGAAATAATAGTAGCTGGAGTACTAATCTCAAGCACAGTGAGATAGAGACTGATTAAAAATTGGGAATATTTTAAAAATAATGCCATAAGGTATTTTTAATTTTTGTATTCTCTGGATTCTTTGATTTTTTTTTTTTTCCTCTATAACCATAAGCAATATATTCTACTTAAAACAAGCAAATAAACAAATAAATAAATAAATAGAGATTTAGGAATAAAACACTAAATATCCTGAGACTTACAATAAAGCCATATAATTTTATATCACTGGTAGGGGAAAAGAAAAATGAGCAATATGCTAGGAAAACTGTTTCCTTCCTCTTCATTAGTACATAAGATTATACATTAGCTCATATGCACGTAATAGAAGTCTCCTAGGATGATAGGAAAATATTGTGTCCAGATCACTTTTTTCATACACGACTTTGTTACTTTAAGAAAGTGAATACTGAGTTTTTTTACCTGGTTAAGTAAGTTATTTGTTTAGCATGAAACCAGAGAAGAGGATTGTTCTTTGTAGCATTGACCTGTACTGAAGCCACATTTGAATTTGGCCTACATAGTGTAAATTTTAACTTATTCTCTCCCTATTAGTTGGATGGTGTGAGAGTGATACCCCCTGCTCGTCCTCATGAAGGTATTCGCATATATCAGAGAGCAACAAGAATTTATCTGGAGACAGATTTTGGTTTATACCTGAGCTTTGATGGCAATCAAAATGCAGGTAAGTGATGGTAAAACAATCTGCAAGGATATTTATATACTGTCTGAGAAATGTTCTCATTCCAAAAAAGAAGTCTCAACCCAAGAAAAAATTAGAAATCTTCGTCCTATGAACCTGTGAATATTTGTGATAAGAAGTTCCAGAAAATCAAAAAAAAAAAAAAAAAGTGTTTTCCAGGAACCAGAGAACCTATAAAAATGGCATTTCTTTATCTGGATCCACCTGAACTTAGGAAAAATGGGATGTGGATCCAGACTGTTCTAGGGTTGTTCATGTAAAGTAAGGCCTGAATGATTAAAGCAAAAGTAGATCATTTTAAATTGCTGATTAGGATGATGGGGTGAAGTCCAGGTTTGCCTCTTTGCCAGCTTAACCCGTTTCAGAGGGATGAAGTCCTCAAGCTATACAACTGCGAGTGCATGTTTCTACGTGCTTCCTCCCATGGAATTCCTTGCATTCTGTGTTTCAGATGGTCCCATTCCTCAGTATCTCTCAGCTGGACACCTGTGTCATGTACACACAACTCATTCCAGGTTACCACTTCTGATCAGAGCAGAGCTATTCCTGATTTACAACAGAATATAGCCATATTGTTTCTGAGAGTATGGTGAAAGTGCAGGCCCTTTATATGCATGACCACATTTCCAAACCCTAAAATTCCACCTGCAGGAAAGAAAGGTCTGTTTTATAGGAACTCTGTTTCTCAGTGAGCAAGTGGATTGTACCTGACGGGCAAAAAGTGGGTAAAATGGCGATGCATCCAGTTTGTTGCAGGGTAGTAAGCTGTAAGTGCAAGCAGAACTCACATGGAGATGTTCTGTTATATAAATACCCTGCTGGCAGCAATAAACAACTTTTGTCATGATCCATCTTGCAGCAGAGCACAGAAACAGCCCTGTGAATATATGTATTGACAATGTTCAGTATTGTGCTCATCTCCTATGTACAGGGTCCACACCACTTTACCAACTCTTGTTCTGAATCATGGAACAGGCTACATGGCACTTCTTTCCACCTCTTCCATACACCTCATCAGCAAAAATTTCTGAGTAATGGCTTTTTTTCTTCTGACCTCCCTAGAAATAAAGCTGGCCAACACCTACAAGAACAGAGTGGAAGGCTTGTGTGGCAACTTTGATGGGAGATACAGAAATGACTTCACTAAGTCAGATGGTGTTTGGGTGAGGAACGTGAATGTATTCGGTGAGAGCTGGAAAGTTCCTCTCAAAAGAACAGTCTCTCGTCTCAGGTACTTAATTTTCTATTTAATTTCCATGGCATGCACAGCCACTGGAAGTCAATGAATTAAGCCGTATTTAATCCCCAGGCATAACTACGCTGCCTTGTTTCTGGTCTTTCTTCTTGCCTTGATCTGCGTGTAGGAACTTTTCCTTCTCATCACTAAGGTGAACTATCTGTGATCTTCTGTCTAACTAAGAGAGGCCTGAGCCGTCACTGCATTACTCCAGTTCACTGTCCTTCTTTGGAGTCACAGCCATTGCAACTACTGTGGCGCAGGGATGGCTTAGGTCTGTGCCAGGTTCATGCAGCTACATTCTCTTTCCTGACAGTACAAAGAAAGATAGGACAATCTTCTGAGTATAAATGAGTGTGGTATTTGTGGTGAGGCCAATTCTACACTAATTAGTCCACACAGAAATTGCAACAGATAGGGAACTAAGTTTTCTTCCCTCCTTCTGCCTTCTCAATTTGTTTTGAAAATCCTTTGGAGGTTGCTTAGCCACTCACACAGAACATTTTTGGCAAGTAAATGGAATTGTATTAGTTGACAGGACATCGTTTTGTTGCAAAAACTTGTCTAGCGGAATAATAGAAAGCAGAAATGGGCTCTGCAGACTATGCCTAGAGGAGAATTCTGGCCTTCAGGCATGCAGCCAGCTGTTCAGTGAAAGTGAGCATATCTCTGAGAAATGGCTTGCCTGCTCCAGCTGCATCATTTTGGCTAAGGCTCACGGTTTATTGAAAGGACTGGATAGAGGAGAAATTGGATGAAACCTGGATCATACAGAATGTCCAAAGGGATAATTACAGCTATCCCTTTTGGTTTAAAAGCCCATAAATCTCAGACATGGTTCTAGTACCTCATTGATTTGCTTTATCTGTTCCCTTCCATTCAGGATAAGCCATGAGATAGAAATACACTGACACTTCTACCACAAGGTAGAAGTACTCTTGTGATCTTATTTGGAGAGTAATATTATGAATACTGTTCAGAGAACTGGTGGTTTCACAATGACTTAATTTGCAGGCGAGATGTCACTTCAGAAGATAACTCTGAGGAGGAACCAGATCCAGGGCTTTTCCAAGGCTGCAATAAAAATCAGCTGGAGCAACAAAACAGCACTTCTAGATGTCAAATCCTGATCGAGTCAAATGGTCCTTTTGTAAACTGCCATTCTACCATCTCACCAGATTTCTATTTCACGTAAGTCTCTGCTGCAGACAACTATTCTCCCCATTTCCAAAATCCTCTTGGTGCTTTTTTTCTGAGAAGAGCTGTGCATTTTCAATTTCAAGGATATGAAATCGGAATCAAGGATAGTAAGTACCTTTGCAGAATTGAGCCCCATGCTGTCATTATTGCTGTTACTGTTATTTGTTTTTAAAAAAATTATGATGATCCATCTTTCCATCTAGTTAGGATTTTACTTTTCTATTCGCTCTGGAAAGTAGCTTTCCTATTTTGCTACACAGATAGAGAGCACAGCAGCATTAAACAGAACTTCAAACAACTTACAAGTGTTATTATACAAGTGTCATTGAGAATTTGGTATCTGGCACTGTTAGGTTCCTTTTGGCAATTTTAGCATCATAAAATGTAGCCTTTATGCTATAACCCTAAAGGCTGAAGCTGTCAGTGACACTTCTTGCATGGAGAAGTACTAAAAACAGGTTAGTGAAGAGTATCTTGGTGTCGACAAGAAAGTTTCCTCTGCTGTGTGTCAAGACTCCTCTGGCCTCCAGCATACCTAATTCCTACATACCTCTTTTTGAACCACATGAAATGTATTGAGTCACCCTCACCTTAATCCTTCATCAGTCACAAATTTGCCTAGTAGTTGCCAGTTTTCTCTAGTCATATCATTGTAACTAGTGTTTAATGCTAATTAACTAATGTCCACTTCTAAGTCCCTCTTAGCTATAAAAGGAATGTGAAGGTATGTTAAGCCAAATAAACAGGACCACTGACTTCAGTGTTTATATCCCAATTCTTTATGTAGACCTACCTTTCTTCTCGCTTTAGAATTCGGTTGGTAAGCCTATTTTAACTTCCTAGTGTCTACCTGATCTTTCTGAGGTATTGCATACTTGCAGATCCCATTGCCCTCAGTTCTCAATGCCTCTGAAAATCAGGCTGTTAATATTCAGATGATGAGCAAAGTTGAGAAGGTAGCACTGGCAAAGGAACACTGGTTAAACCAGAATTCTGTGTTCATATTCAAGATATATGGTCGTAGGGACAGCGTTCAAATATCGAAAGAAGTCTGTAGTCCACATACAAGACTTAGTACTAAGAAGTGCTCTCTAAGCAAGATGTAGCCATGCAGCCTGAAACAGAA